CTCTCATCCAGTTGGTTGGAAACAGGGGCACCGTAACTGTTGCTGGTTACGCTGATCCGTTTGTCAGAGAAAGAACAACACCTAGGACTTGGTTTCTTAAGTGATTCAAATCATTTCGACTTATTAACGTACATGCCAACCACAATCTATATGACATCAGCATTGATTTCCATCGTGGACGGACGTTTTACGTCATTTCGCGCCCACAAACTTGTACACCACCCCGTACTCCGATTGGCTTTCAGACTATTGGTCACAGAGGGCTCACGTTACTGCTGCCTTGTTGATCGGTTCCGCTCATGCCCTAGTACGTCCCCACGCAGCGCTTACTTTCTGGGTCTCAGCGAAGCGCCCAACTTCCTTGTACTTTTTTAGTAACTGAAGTCACAAGTTGAGTCAGGCTGTCGTTTACCATTGATGAATAAGGTGGCTATGCCAGATACCCATTTGTATCAGCCCAGTGCACTGGAGACCTCTTGTTCGCTTCCTAACAGCACACGAATGATGTGTGAAGCATTGACCAATGAGGAAGAAGCATGTAAGATATCCCGTTGGGGACTCGCCTCAAAGTAATGCTGTAGACAAGCCTCGATCACAATCCACGATCTCATTGTTTAACCTGATATTTTTTTGCACAGTAATTTTTTTTTTTGAATGCATAGTAGCCGGCTGGTAGCTTACCGGAACGACGCCCATCCGTTATCGGTAGCTCAGCCGGCTTGCCTCAGTTGGATTCTTTTTTTTCTCATTTTTTCTCTGTATTGTGGCACAGTAGCTGAGGTGTTCCCCACCTCTAGTTAACGGTTATGATGATGATGATGATGATGAGACAAGCCTCGGATCAGATTCAAGGTTGATCGGGGGCGTTAGTACATGGCAGAGTCGTGCACTAGTGGAGACCGGTTCCAGACCATTCGGAGCATGGCTCTAATAAGTCCTTACTGAGCTACACATTATGTGCCAACTGGGCACCCGATTTCTCCTTGGACCCACCGGTTGAAACTCAGGACCGTACCTTTCAAAGTGTGGCTCAACAGGCCTACTTTATCACCATCGTTTCAGTAAGCACTTGGATATGCCTTCGATGTTACTTTTTTACCTCGTACCTCCGACGTATCCCAACGTGAAAAATGATGTTAAAACGGGTAAAACGCTTGAGAGCCCCCTCCGCATCTGCTGTGACGGTGGAGCCCCACTGGTTGTTTGACCTTTCTGTCCCGCCCCCTATTTGACACAGGAAGAAAAGTCATTTGAAGCCATTGTTGTCAATAACAAGCCCCTCCTTATAAGGCCTAGAACGCCGTTGTACCGGATTTATCTATACACTACGCTTAGTTCAATTACTTCCAAATTTTTCATGATAATCACACCGCGACGGCTCAGTGGCCTCTCGGAAGTCGAACCATTTGGAGCCAAGCTATCGCCTACCACTATTGAGAGTGCATTTACCACATGTTTTTACTCCGTCTAGTCAAGTCGTCAAAATAAACTTTGCACACGCAAATAGGTGCATTCTCAGCATGTGCAGTGTCACTGTGGATGCACTGAATGATGGGACCAACCAAAAATATAAAACTACAAATGTGTACAAAGGTCACTTGAGGCGGCCTATCCGGAAAGTATTTGTGACTTTCTTTGACTGTGTTACGACAAAGTGCGGGTGAATAAAACCTTAAATTTTATGCGCGTGTGAGAAAGACTAAGTTTCTGAGAGATCATTACGTAGTGGATGAAAGCAATTACTTAGAACTTTAAAGGTAAATCTGACGCGAATAATAGAACTGACTCTGGAATCTCTAGGCAGGCCGCCACATCTGGACGTGTGTTTAATCGATCGCACAATCAAAACATGATCCAGGAAATATTACCGAGGAATAAGGGGGTAGTATACAAATCTCAAAACCAAACTTCGCGGCACGGAAAGCTTCTTAAGTCTGAAAGCATAAAAACGTAATCCTACGACCATGTGAAATGTTTCAAAAACGTGCGTGGACCAAGAGGAGTTTTGGGACAAATCGACACCGAGATACTTGACAGTGGGTGAAATAGGCATGGTTTTGTCATACGCAGTTGATAGAAGCAAGGCATATAAAATTACTCTCAAGTTATTAAGGCGACGAAGGGTCTGGATGATGACCAACTCACGAGTTCGTCTAAACCACTGAAGCAGAGAAAACATCACAATGGAGGGAGCCCTGAGTCTCAAAACATCATCAGCATAGCTACACCCAATGAATGTTGCTGGTATGGGAAGACTTTCTACAAATAAAGGAAATAGGAAGGGTGGGAGGATCGCGCCTTACAACTCGCCAGTCAGCGCGGAGTGTAGAGGGGCTTTTGCTATTTAATTGAGTAAAGTGCGTGCGGTCAGTAAAATAGTCACGCGACAAGTTACAAACTTCAGGGTACACTCTGTTCAAATAAACTAGATTGTGTAGTGCAGATCGGTCAAGACTCCCGAAGTCGTTTGAATAGTTAAGAAGCCGTACGGACCCGCACTTTTGTCCAACTCAGACGCTATTGAATGCGCAAAGTACGGGACAGCATCTGGCGTAGAGCACTGGGATCTAAAAACAAACTGCTAGACATCATCATGAGTAGCCATAGAAATCCGCCGGACTAGTGGCCTTTCGACGACTTTTAAAAGCACAGAAGTATAGGAAATTCGCCGATACTTTTGAATTTCCTTCTTAGGAACGTGTTATTCTGGCTGATCTCCAGATGTCAGAGATGACACCGGTCGTGTGACACTTGTTGAATATATCAGTCAAGAGCAATGTGAGGTAATCGACGCACTGCTTCATAACCACAGATGATGAAGCATCAGGATCATTAGCTTTATGTAGCTCTAATCTCTTGTGCTATCTTTTGACGTAACTTTGGTCAAATCGGGCAGCTGGGCCTGAGCTAGTGAAGGGGGGCGATGGAAACCGATCGACGGAGAGAAGCTAGACTCAGAATTGAGTTTGTCAACATCCACTACTCCAGTACAATTGATTTGCTTTAGCAGTCTTCAGAGCTCACGGCGGCTATGATTTCACAGTGCTGTTTCAGTGTTCAAACTGCTTAAGCTTGTTATTTCAGTTCTAATTGCCAATGTTAGACCTTTGACACGGGTGGTCATTTTGAACCTTTAAGCACATTCCTTTAGAACAACGGCATGTCTACAGACGACCTACCGTGATCAGTTTTATGGACACGTGTATCTCCTTTGAATCGCCTGACCTTAACAGCTCGTAGCACTATTTTAAAGTGCATGTCAGAGGAATTCCTTGTTATTACGAATTCGCGGTGCTGTGACTGCCATGGTTGTACGAAGGGCTCGACAATTGTCTTCCGGCCTTCCCACATCAAGTCTGGAGTATACCCGGTTCAACCCATTTTTCTTCCGCTTTGCGATCGATGTGACTGTGGTTGATTCTGCTCTCTGCGTTCCTTGAGGGTTGAACGTACTTCCAGTTGTTCAAATGAAGTCGAAGAAACCCTCGTCGTACCACGCATCTCCAAGCTATACAATAGCCCGAGGGTTGCTGCACGGTTCCAAATTTTTACAAACGTCTGAGTAACGCCAAGTCCACGACCATCGGACTGCTGAACAAATTGAAATTGGATACGTGACCCTTTCATACAATCTGTCTTATGGGAATTAATACAGAGCAACGCACGCTTCGGCACGTGGTTCACGCCTTCAAAATGCAAGACACTGGCGCGTTGCCTGTTGACCTTGCGCTTCCTGCTTTGACTAATTCACATTCTTCGTTTACCCACCTACTCGTTGCCCCGGTACGCTTTCGTTGTTGACATTGCACCCTGTTAAGGCAACACCATAGAGCAACCAGTCGATGATGCTTATCGTCTTATTGTATCAATCACATCAATATTGAGCCATAGTTTATCGATTCGTCTCAGCGGCTTACAAGTCAGATACTCTAATCACCAATCCGGAAATTCACTAGACAGCCCTCTCGCCCTATTGGGACTCGTCGGCGGGACTCATACTCCGGCTCCAACAGGAACCGAACTCCTGACCGCCAATGGCTTATGCGACTGAGCCATGGGGAAAGGTAGCAGACTGTCCTATAACCTGCAAGTTAACTGGGATGTAGCCTGACCCCCATGCTCCACTACCCCATGCAGTTTGTTGGTGGGTATTTCACCACCAATCGAAGTGGCTTCTTCATTTGAATAATAGCACATAGCTTTTTAACAAACATTGATGTCGAACAAATTCACCTCGTTTGGTTGTGAAACACTCGCAGGCAGACTGTCCAGGTCGGGGAACAAATTGGCGCCTCAATTGTGAATCATCGCAAGCAACAATGGTTTTCCAACTCCAGTTGCGACTTGTCACTTCTAAACCCGATTCCCCCTCATCTTCTGGTTAGTCGCTAAATATTGGAATTTTTCCCTTTACCTCTAATGTCGTTTCTCTACGCGCGTGCCAGCACTGCAATACATGTCGTGCCCACTTCGTTATTCAATAGCTTTTTGAGTCTGTGGCAGTGCGGCCTTTTTGCTCAATAAATAAATAACTAGAAAACTAACCAGATATTCCCGACTTCAACAGGACCTAGCGATGCTAAATGTGTAACAGCAGTTACACATTGTATCCTTGTACTACCTGCAGCCGAACACGATTAGCCAAAGTACCAAATTATCGCATGGTATTCGTCTCATTTTGCATCGGGATACCGTGAAGTCACTACGAATAAATAAACACAACCATCTATCAGATGGGTTTGTTTATTTGTTAGGTCAGAGCAACGGTTGAGTTTGAAATCCGTCACGATGGGATATTTTAAGGATAGGCAATTTACTTATCCATCACTCCGAACACAAGCGATAGTTCGTAGGATGAAACTAAAATACACATAAGTCAAATATCCAAGTACAAGTTTTCCAGCGTTGCTGCACCACTTAATTCATAATGCATACTAATAGAATTTCTTATTTGATACCAAACCCGCTGTTCTTTTTCCTCCCTCTTTAATCACCCATAGTTGTGCCAAATTTGTCGACGGGACAATAATGAAGCCCAGCTACTGCTGTGCGATGGTTGTGATCACGGCTACCACACCTACTGCTTCCGTCCCCCATTGATCGACATTCCTTCAGGAGACTGGTTTTGTTTTGATTGCGTCTCAAAGGCTACAGGAAAATCCATTTGCTTTGTATGTGGCCTCAGCAAACCGTCACATGCTGGGTCAGCCACTGCTGGTCAGGCGAGCACAGACACTTCACGACTTCTCGTTTGTGAGGGCTGTTCCCGCGCAGTACACGCATCCTGTTCCCGTCCACCGATAGCTCGGATTCCCCGTCGATGGGCGTGCGCAAATTGTTCAGCGAGTACCACCCCCAATCCTTGTACTTCCCAGAAGACTGGCAAGCAACAAGGCGGTGCCTTCACAACAACCACCTTTGCGAGCACCTCAACAGGGGTCAAACACCTGAATTCCTGTCCCCTCGAGGAAACTGTCCGGAAATCCGATGCCTGTTCCGAGCCGAAATTGGCACACATAACAGAACCTGCTGATATGGTAACGCAAATCATTTCGAGATTGTTGCATAACTTCCACTCATTCCATTCTTATCACTGGTTGTCAACGCATAGTCGAATTAGGTCGGACTTAGGCCGGGGATAATGCCAAACACATCAATTAAAAGTCGGTCAATTGTGCCACTCAATCAAAAGTCCGGTTTTAGGGATTGCGGTTTTTCATGCAACACCGAGCTCACCTGCTATATATATATATATATATATATATATATATATATATATATATATATATATATATATATATATATGGTTGGCGACATCCGGCTTCGGATTTGCCTGTCACTGTGGCAAGCCACAGGACGCCTGCGCCTACAGAGAGACCATGGGTGGCTTGCGCTGCACCACACACAGCTCCAAACACACACCCCATATCCAGTGTAAACCCGAAGGAATAAGACCGGGAGGCATGTGGATGGGAGCCACGTTTCATCAACAGAGCCGGCCCACACTCCTTCACAGGCAAACACAAGCACGCTGTAGTTCGGAATCAAGCGCACACAAGGCGGTGGCTGGACCGTAGTCCGCTCCACACTGAGTGCATAGAACCACACTTCGAGTCTAACACGGCCGCAAGAACCGTGCACCCGTCCCCTCCAGCAACGACCAACTGTCTCCTGGAGCCAGTATGGACGAGGTAGTGGGTAATAGACAGGTAGGCATCTTGTCAACATGCACATCAAGCGCAGCCACACCGGGGATATCAAGCAACAGCCAATCACTTGAAACGACAAGATGAAATAAAATAAATCCAATAATGCATACAGATACGGAAACATAACTCTTCACTAAATGAGCGTGTAAAAAATTATTACAAACGAATCCGCGATAAGTTAAAGAGGTGAGAAGATACATTTTAAGAAAATGCCACAAACTCGAAAATGTTATCGAAGTTAACTACAATTAGCTTCAGCGACGTGTGCAAGATTATAGAAGACAGTACAGGTAGACATTAATATGAGAAAGATAAACATTAGGACAAAATTGCAAACCCACCACCTGAAATAAATAGACTTAGCATGCAAGCACGCGGTTAGTAAATCGAATGCAGCGTACCTACAAACGCTGCGCCGGTTCTGCCTACGTTCTCTGCAGGACCCGTCGTCGCTTCGGTAGTGATCCCGAGTGGCCTCGCTCATGGCTCACTAGGCCTGCCTGACTCAGGCACTCGCGATCGCATGTGCTACAGCACCATGCACTCGATGTCGAAGGAGTACAACCCATCGGTGCTTGTCGCTTCCGCACTTGCCGCTTCTTCTCTGCATGTATGAAGTCTTTCTCCCGCACTTCGGCAACTGTCTTCATGATCAGATCGCGCCATGCACGCCGATCAACCGCTTTCGATTCCCATGATCTGCAATCAAGATTAGAACGTGAGAGGCTCACTTTGATCATGTCCTGGTAACGTAACTTTGCTTTCCCCACATGCCGCTTCCCAATACTCAGCTGACCGTATGATAGTTGTTTCGATATGCGCGTCGAGTCCATACGGCTCACATGACCGAGCCACCTCAGGTGTCTCAACAACACTTCCGTGTCCGCAACTCTGTCGCCCCATCCGATGCTCAGAATCCGTCGCAAACACTGTTGCTGGAACCGCTCGAGATATCGCACATCCCGCCGGTACATCGTCCACGTTTCACTGCCGTATAGAAGAACAGACAGCACCATGGATTTGTACACCATCAGCTTCGTGCCAATGGTAAGCTGATGGTTATTCAACATTCGGTACTCTATCTTCCTGTATGCCGCTGCTGCCTTCGAAGGGCGGATACGCAGCTCACTGCGTAGTTGCTGATGAGTCAACATCACACTCCCTAGGTAGCTAAAGCGGGAGATAGTTTTCAATAAATAAATAAAATAAATAAATTTGTATATTTACCGACAGCACCAATGCTGATTTTCTGCAATATTGAAGATTGCACCTCCGGTGAAGGCTGAAAGAGACAGACAGTTTTGCTTGTGTTGATGGTGAGCCCGAATTTGGTCGATGTCGAAGTCAGAGCACTAGCCATGGGCTGCAACTCATCCGCGCTGTTCAAACAACGCACATTCGTCAGCAAACAGCAACATACAGATAGTTGTCCCACAGACTAGAGTTCTTGCATCGAAACGACGGATGTTCAGCAACCTACCATCAATACGGTGCTCCACACGAACACCGTAAGCACAAGCGGCATCAAAAGCACAAGACATCATTGCATGAAGATCAATATTAAACAGGGTTTAGCTATGACCGGTAGTGCCGATTGACAAGCCTAATCACCAAACGTATGCACGGTCTGGGCAGTAAAATACGAGGGCAGTGGGCGGAACAAGTACTGAGTGAAGCGTGGTTCTGAAAGCATTCAGAGATACAGTGCTGACTTACGAATAGGTAAATAGACTCGAAAACGGATGTAAATAAATCCAGTCAAGTTCGAACAGCGGCAGTAATGGAGACAGTAATCGCAGCGCAGTAACACAAAGGACTGGATACTTAGGCTTAGATAAAGGGCGGAAATGTTCTATAAACACATTTATAAACCTATAAATTAATGCGAATGTCACTTGGTTCGTCCGGATAATTATCGGTTACGATTCGACATCAGTCAGTGCAAATTACCGTGATGAAGATGCGTGGCGTGATGAAATGTTAAAGCAAAGTGAACTACTCATAGCTTGTCAGTAAAGTCATTCATCATCGTGAATTGTAATTCACACAGGGCATGTGCTAGACACAGCTTTACTTCACACCAAACTGCTGTCGTCCTAGGTCTGTCCACTCAGCTACACTCTCGTCCGCATTCAAGTAAACTTAAAAACCTACTCGGACAACCAAACTTACTCAACACCAGCCACAATACCTCATGGTTCACCGTAACAAATGTCTTGGTGAAATCAACAAAAAGCGAGTACAAAGGCTGGTGTTGTTCTCTACATTTCTCCTGCAGTTGACGAGCCACAAACACCATACCTATAGTACTGCGGCCCGAACGGAATCCACATTGATCTTCCGCCACGTTAGGTTTCACAATCTGACTGACGAGTCTATTGAGCAGGATTCGGGCAATCACCTTGCCCACACAACTCAGCAAGTTGATACCACGATAATTCGTGCAACGTTGCTTGCTACCTTAGCCCATGTACTGTGGTAGCACAAGGGCAGCCTTCAGCTCAGCCAGCATCATCTCAATCCATACGCGTTGCACCAAGTGGTCCATCGCAGTCACCAACGCGGGTCCGCCGTGTTTCAATACTTCAGGCGGGATCACGTCGGCACCGCCACACTTACTGTTTCACGGCTGAGCACATGCTCTCTGGGTCTCATCTAGTGTTGACGTGTCCGCCAGACTCCTCTTCAACTCATGCTGCTTGAGGCCGTTCAATGAAGGCTAGTCGATCTCTGAACGGTTGTTCAAGAGACAGACATTTTTTTCTCGCCAAATCTGCAAGATGTCTGTAGTCTGTGTGCAGGTAGCGCCTGAGCTACCATCGATTAGCATCCTCAGCGGCTCCAACCTCGGTCCATACACCGCCTTCAAGGAGTCAATATATATATTCAACACTTGACCAATAAACAATTGACAGAGTGCCAACGTTATAGCTCCTCGCGTTATTTTCGTCAACTTCCGATTAACGAATGCTCCCCTGTTGGCCCAGAATAGCCCCACATTAAATGTCCGCACGGATAGTAGGCAATGTCACCTGGCGCAAACAATACGGGGTTGTACACCGTAACGCACAAGTCACTCCTTTATCCTGTCAGTCATTCCAACAATAACATGCAACCTGGGTATCTGTCCGTCTTTCTCACCCTATTAGTTCTCTTGCATAACAGAACAATGTGAATTATACTGTCAGACTGCGTCATTTTTGTTTGTGCTAGCACGGGAACGGTAATGATTCTGCTTAGCACCCATCCAGGATGCTGACGAGTGAGAGTAGGTCATTCGACAACTTTGAAACGATAGCTTCACTGGTTTTGATAGATCTCGTCCCACGTGACCCTGGCGATTTTCTTCGAATTGCACTTCGATAGCAAAAGTGATGGGATCCAGATTGTTTCCTAGCCACAGGACTAGGAATGTTAGTGCTTAAATCCAGTTTTCAACATAGGCAGTCGCTTCACCGGTTGCATCGGTTTTCGCTTGGCTTAAGTAGGAAGCCTGAATCGCTCCTTTTCCTCGGATGTATTCAGTGCACCAAAGTACACTGGACTACTCTTACTATGGACAGAAAGCGAACCCGGATCGTCACTCATCCTGCCTAGATGGAACCACAAACGGTATTGTTTAATCGACACGCATTGAGCATACTTTGCTTGACACTCATGAATCAATGTGGCGATGAGTGGCGTAGGCTTGAGTTGCTTAGTGGCTGCAGCTTACTATCGTTGCTATCATAATTGGACGAATGTGCGATCTCTTTCATCATGCTATCTCATTCCCAGGTGACAAAGTCGAAACCCATCCCTCTGAAGTCGAAGAAGCCCTCCGGTAACATCTTACTGTCGTCGCAGCACTCTTCTTCGACCTCTTCGATGGGCTCGAGGGTTGCCGCACGGTCACAGATTTTTACCAAGCGTCCGAGTAGCTCCAAGTCCACGGCCACCGGACTGCTGAACAAATTAAAGCTACAGAACAAGCAGCGAATGAGGTTGAAAAATATCCGGTTGGAAGAGAAACACAGCTCTGGGGAAACAAGGATGAAGTATTCCCAAGAACACGTCCTGGGCGACTTTCGACACTATCGAAAGGGATCAGAAGCTGGTTCAACCCACGCCGTTTATACGCGAAGGGATGCCGTTGAGTCGTTAGACGTTCCACTCCGCCATTCGAGCCGTGACTCCTTGGGCGAGTCAGAGTATATATTTGGCAAGGAAGATGAAGCGCCCAAGAAGATGCTCACTCCGAGTGAAATCTCATGGTGTCGGTAAGTAGCGCTGATCGCATCGAATCGATCCTTTAACCCCTTTGTACACAGTGTGTGCCTAGGTACACACGCATAAAGTTTATTCCCAAATTGTGCGTACAAATGTGCCCATGGTATCAGCTGCATAGTTGACAATCAACGATAAAAGCCTTCCGTTCATTTTGTTAAGAGATCGAATGCATCACCATCGACACAGACGATAATTTTTTGGATTAAAATCTTGGCCTGTGTACGCAGGGATTGAACACGTACCGCGGATTTTTCCGGCCCACAAGTACTACTGGAAGGTCTAGTTTCACACGTAGTTCGCGTTTTCATCTTTGCTCATCTCCTACTGACTATCGTTTTGCTCTTTCTACTTCAACTTAACGCATCAAAATGATCAGCTCTGTAAATGTGGTCACATTAACCGAATAATTTAGGATATGGGCGACTGCTCAGTTCGAGAAGCAGGTTTGTACCCCGGTTACGTCTCGCACATTTTGATTCACCCGCTGTGAGTCATCCACGCGAGATTTTTTTGTAATTGCCATGATTGGTGGTACTTGGAGGAGTCTCATTCAAAGTTTAAAACCGGGATGGTAGTGTTGATTCGCGAAGAACGGGAAATACCTACTCTTGATTGCATTTAGGGTGCAATCATCGTTCACTGATTCATGGTTGGAGGGTAAAAACTATCTTTAGGTGGCAACTCTATTCTAGATTCAATCATTTTACTTTCTAATGTATACCCTACCTTACATCTAACCCATCCTGCGGGGCACGCAAGCCGAGTTAACAAGTTCAATTATCTGCGACAGTACTAATGTTTGACACAGTACCTCAAACTGTTGAGTTGGTTGTCTGTTTGCTGAATTTGTAAATTTTGTTGTAAACGTTTCATCCACGACTGAGATGAAATCATCAGTGCGCCGTTGTGTGACACAGCCACTAGCGCTCCGCTACACAACGGCATATTGATGAGATCACCTCGGTTGGGAGTGAAACGTTTGCAACAACCTTCACACACCTCAATGAACGCACCGACAACTGATGCAAACGTCACCGCGAACTACAACATGCCGATCTCAGACTGTTGAGTTGTCGACAAATCGGACTACATTCCAGCAAAAAGCACGGGGCCAAATTTTCCCAACCTACCGCTCATCAGTTGCACCAAAAATCGTCACGTGCGTATTTAGTCCTTTTGATTCCCAAATCGTTCCGAATTTTTTTGGTGTTCATCACACTATACTTGCTTTATACTGCGAACGTAAACGCTGGACGCACCTAAGTCGCCTAAATGTGTAGAAGATGTAGATGTATTGTAGAATCCAAATCAGGACAAAACTGGTCATATAGAGTGTGCAGTGTTGAAAAGAGCAGTTTATAAATTCTCCACTTCAGATTCGGTCCCAGGGTCCAAGTAAACTCTGTGGATCCAATTGAGATTGTGCGTCGCAATCCAGACACACAGGCAGGTGCTCCAAGACTCAGCAGTGAACAGTGTGTTGAACTTTGTTGTTTGAGTGTGTTAACCTAATCATTGCAAACTACGGGCCCGTTTCACACTGTCGATTTGAATCCGGTTCCATAGTAACCGACTTAGTGGTGTGGCAACCATAAAACAAACTACTGTCAAGAGAATGGAGTTTGAATTCAATCTATAAAGTTTGTTGAATGCCTCATTTATTTTCCTCGGCTTCTTTTCCGGAACCGATGAAGAAAGAGCACGATTTTATTCTTGGCTAACAAGGGCTACCAGACGGAATGGACGACATTAAGCAAAATGATCACGTTTGCTGCAGTTTTTGCAATCTACTACCCGAACCGCCAAAACTTGACAGCCTTTTTCCGATGAAGCACTAGACGTCCGTTTCATCCTTTTAGGATTCGTCATCAGTGTCCCTTGCGGGGCCAAGGCCTGCGACCTTGTTGTTACGAGTTTGTGATTAAGACCATTCAGCAACGGGGTATGAGCGGTATCCGCCGTAACCAGCTCTGATGTAGCGCGCGTATACTCCTCTTCCACTGCCGTGCTTCAAGCCTAATTCATAATATCCTACGCTTCTGTGGATGTATCCACAGCTTGTAGATCAGATGCATCAAAGTAATGCTAGCAGTCATTACCTAATAAGTGGTGGAGAACTTTCAATTTTTACGCTTCCTTGTAGGCAGTGATTGACTGCAATGAGTTTGAATAATTCGTAAATCGTTTTTACTAAGGCAAATCGCTCTCTGTATGCCTGCCACTTGAATGCCACTACAATGCTTCCGTAGGCAGAAGGCAAAATGCCATGGGAGCGGTTCGCACCTTGTGACGCCAATGGCGAGCCCCAATAGGGCGAAACGCGCGTCTGATGCATTTCCGAACTGTTAGCTTACCTATGCGACTTGGAATCTAATTGCAGTGAACCAAATCGAATGTTGCATAGTATTTGCAACTCGATCTCCTTGAGTCCCTGTGCTGTGCGTGAACACCCATCACGAAAAAAGCTACTGGAAAATGGATTCGTAAAAATGGTCGCTCACACCCTGAGCTTATGTACATTGGTTCCATTAACGGATAGTCGATCAAAACCCGTCCAATCACAGAACCGTTGTAGGCTGCGGTGCTCGTACGTGGTTGACAGGAAAGAAAGAGAATCAGCAGTGCCGAGTACGCGAAAGCAAGATCAGATATGCGTGGTATACTTTGCAATAAATTCGATACTTTAGCGCAGCTGAAATCTCTTAACTATGGGACTGCTCGTTCTTCGATTGACGGTAACCTATAAACTGTATACTTCGTTTGAAAACCTCTATCAGAAAGCGGATATTTTGGGCCCAGGCGTGTGGAACGTGACTATGTATCTAACGGAAGTACATAAGAGATGCGGTGTTCGTTTTCGCTGCACTCTCAGGTGACTTTTCTGCTGCAACTGTTGAACAGTGTTCATGCACCCGTGGTAACGACATACAACACTACTGTGCTGGCTTCAGGTCAGCTAGCTTTGTCACCACATCTATACCATTTTCCATTGAAGTTGGACATTCGGGCAAAACATTTACGCCTGGGGGTCAACGGGGTTGCTCCTCCGGGGCAATCAAGTTGAGTCTTCGCTATGCGGAATAGAACCACTCACTGGCATGGTAGAGGCTGTTTCATTGGCCAAGCGCCTTCAGCAAATAGGACCTCAGACGCTTGGCCAATGAAACAGCCCCTACCATGCCAGTGAGTGGTTCTATTCCGCATAGCGAAGACTCAACTTGATTGCCCCGGAGGAGCAACCCCGTTGACCCCCAGGCGTAAATGTTTTGCCCGAATGTCCAACTTCAATGGAAATGGTATAGACAGGCGATCTCCGTTCAAAGGGCAACTGAATGCATCTTTTGTCCTAGTGTACGTTATCGTCTCCTCAGTCACTGCCATGAGCACATTGGCTGGGCCTTGTGCGCCGCCTGCTGGCATATCATGTGCCACCGTGGATTCGCTGCTGTGCTCATCCCGACTCCACAAGCAACACGCTCTGCATCTAGGATTGCGCGCGTATTCCGACTTAACATACTCCATACTCAAGACGAGCACTGCATTGTAAGACATTGGTTTCTTAAATGAGCTTTGAACACTAGGTCATAAACGAGTGCACTTTACTGTGACTAACCTTTGTTCCCGAAAAAGATCGAATCTTTGTAGTGATCTTATGAAAACTTGCAAAGTGATTGGCATCACAAGTGCCTTGTAGCTTCATATGATCATACATGTTATCAAGCATCTACGCTAAAACTATGCGTTTTTTGTTCATACTCTCCGTGTACAGTGGGTCGGTGTCATTTACTTATCTGAAGTTGGTGGACCTTAATCCCTTGATCACCGAGGTATTTGCTAACATTAGGCAGAGTGAGTTACGCAATAATTTACGATCTATCGGTTGAACAACATGTGCCAATCCTCACTCGAGAGACCTCATGAGTGCATACTTGAAACACCAAACGTTAAAGTTGAACAATAAGCGCATAGAACATCTCTGTCTCCTCATTTCTTCCACCCTTTCTACTGCATGACATGTAAGCCACAAGAACTCCCGTGTTTTGGAAGGCCACTCCGAACATCGTTACCTACACTTTATGGTGATATACTGTGCCGTTAAGCGTAGTGACTTGTAGCAAACGCATCGATAACCCAGTGAATAGCCTCAACTTTCACAATATCAGGCGATTATTAAAACATTATTCTCCATTAGCCATGTATTATCAAGGTGAGTCTTCAGAATTAAGTCATTAGAATTACGTTTTCACAAGTCAGTTGGGAGACTTTATGAGAACTGTAACGGTCTCGGCACCATACTTTTGTAATACTCTAATGCTTAAGCAAATTTTGTGATTTACCGCAAGCTGTTCCCTTTGAGCGCATGTTTTGTTTTTATAGAATGGCGACAGAGGACCTAATAAACCACGAAGCGTCTTGGGCTTTTCGGAAACCAGTGAATGTGAAACAGGTACCTTTTTATCGCAAGATCATCAAGTGCCCAATGGATCTATCGACCATTCAGCGCAAGACTCGTCATCCCTGGTGAGCAGATTCATTTTTAACTCAGTTATTCTTTGCTCATCGGCAAGTCATTTCTATAGTGATTGCGCACTACTGTAGTACCGGTGGAGCTCATCACAACCAAATGCAGCTAGACGGTCACCACATGGAGTAGTTCTAAACCACCGCTTCGTCACTTCGCGACTCTTACTACCCATGTGCGTTCCATTCCTTCCGGCGCAGGACATTCTCCGCGACTCTTCTGTTGCAATGGGTCTCAGCAGCCGACGTGGTTCGCCAACCGCTTGTGCTATGAAATGTCCCGCCTACCCAGTGGGCATCGTCCTCCTGTTCTTTCCCGGTGTTTTCCACACTCAGCAAGCTGTGTGGAAACACACGTTACACTGTACCTTTCTGTCATGGGCCACGCGCTGTGTACCACTTGTTCTCAGGCAGCCCAGGGTATAAGAATTAAACTATTACATGTCCGCTGTCTCACACACAGCGCGGATAAGTTTTTAAAGTGCGTTATTCACCCTATCGATATCTTGTACAAATGCAATGAGAACTTGTCTGCCTCAGTAAGACTGTCCTTAGAGATATATATGCGACTCGACTGTGTCCTTCAAGGCACGACGGTATAATACGAACCGGTTTAATTTGAACGGATTCCCATATGTGGTAGCGCTGACGGACTGCTTGAAAGGTGACGCGCAGATCAAGCCTTGTTGTTCAGACAACTAGTAATGTCGGTCGGCGTAACTTTTTCAGGGCCACCTTCATGTAACCCAATACAATGACCTATCATATAAACAGATTTTCGAAACAATAACTTTCTTGGTAACTCGATGTTGTCTCTTTTATCCTGATTTTCTATGGGCTGACAACCTAGGAAAGAATACTGTTCAATGAACCCACTATTTCGACCGGAGAAAGTTCCATGAATAGGGTGCCTATCCCGAGTTATCTCGTGCTCGGTCTACCGACTGGGACGTGAACCTTAGATCCTACGATATTGAACACTGCGAGTCGATTAAAAGGCTCAGAGGCCAACCCGCAATCTATCACCACCATGGCAGGGGTCTCACGGTATCAGTGAGACTTCATAACTAGGGACTCAGCCTCATCCGCTGGTATAGGTTAGTTATTGTGCACACTAAACGAAAGCGTGTTGTCACCCTATGTAACATGTGTTTACTACTGTATCTGTTTAACTTCTACAGTATCTTTGTTCTATAAAAACGGTCCGAACGCGTGGCATTTCCTTTAGTCAGCAGCATACACTACTTCAGTAACATATCGCGTTTCACTCTTTTGTAGCAACTACTCCACACTGGAGGAATGGCGCAATGATGTGCGTCTCATTTTCGATAACTGTGAAATTTTCAATGAGGATGACTCCGATGTTGGACGTGCCGGACACACTATGAGGGCTTATTTTGAATCCCGTTGGTCTCGTCCTCCGTGCACAACAGTAAGCTCCGATACACATGCAGCGGGTTTCGCTGCTATGCTTTCATCACCGAACTCACGTCTAGACTCAGCAAAGCACTCGGATGCTGGCGGAAAAATCTCTTCTCCCTCCAACTCCTCATCAACTTCAAGTTTAACCGAAGTAAAGCGCCATGTGTACCCTGAATCTGAAGGTAAAAACCTCATTGTGGCTGTATCCGATGACAATCAATCCGTTGGCACCTCTCTTTCGGCCCACCCAGTCATCGAGGCTGCCGACGTTGGTGCGGACGACGGACGGAGCCCACCACATTCCCCATTCTCTGATAGTCATTCATCAGGATTCTCTGGATTTGAGCAGAACGAATACATGATGGGTCTGCAGTTGGATGATTTGCATTCACCATTGTTGAATAGCGCTGAAACGGAAGTGACTACACCGTGTAAACCTCCGTCTAACAACCTTGGCTCAAATATGTCTTCCGACGTATGCCTTCCAACTTCCTATTCACCGCTGAACTGAATTTGACTGTGCAAATTTCGCAAACCTCGTTTCCCTGTACATAGCTCGAATCAGTTCGTTCTCCAAAGCAATCTGTTATTTCGTTCAGTTTGTGACTCATTTATCAATTCACCACTTGTTCCTTCTCCGTCTCCCCCTTTCGCATTATGTTGACCGGCTGTCCATACGAGTTCAACTTGTCTCCCGTCGACCACATCTGATGTCTACTCTGTTTCCCAGGATCGTCCAACTCTGGACCACCGAAGTTCCGTCACACCCTATATTGAGGCCTTCAGGCATTACGCACACACACACACCTACCAGCTGCTGCCTCCTGAAGAGAGTGTGGGACAGAATTATTGTCCCTTGCTCCGTGCCCCGTTAGGATGACGAACGCCAGCCACGCAAATGCTAGGTTTGAGCAGCTTTTGGTTCATTCTTTCGGATACCCGTCATCACGTTTATGCAACAGCTCACTGTGGCCAGTCACCTCCTAATTCGTCAGACATATGGCAGCCCACATATAAAAACAATTTTGTGGTAGCGGGTTTTCTTACTTTTGTCTGATTTCCACCAACTCGGTTTATCAGACTTACTCAACCGTTACCCATTGTACATAAATGTCGTTACTCAATTAAACGGTTCAAGCGAGGTATCCATCCGTCTCATTGGTGTTTACAATTTCCTCGTGTCCAAAGTACACTTTTTGCTTCAAATCTCTCTCTTCATACGTATTTGGGCTAACGGATAAATGAAACGACTACATTTGTTGCAAATCACCAGATCGATCCGATAATTCCGATCAAACACTGTGCATGTATAAACAGCGGGGGATTCTGATCTACAACAACCCGATAATCCCCATATCGTAGCATGAATCAAATTGAGGCAACTTCTCACTGAAGAGTATTTTTCGGTAACAGTGTGTAGCAATAATAGACATGAAAACTGGTCTGAGCACAGCACGTGCTCGGAGTTGATGAACCAACTCCACTTATCCCTGCATACGAATAGTTGGTCTCTCCATTTCACGACCTGTAATCTAGCTGCAACATAGCTTCATCCTGCCTGCTCATGCGAACGGAAAGCAGGTAGTTCAGAGATCTGACGCACGAATCAGATTGTCACACATGGTAAGGTACTGCATGTATCATATCTCATATGGTCCCTGGGACAAACACTCGAATGGTCTAGCCATAAACAAAAGCGACATTAAAAAGAGTTGTGTTATATTTAATCATATATACATGTATATGTATGCCAAGTCTTTTCAATTATTCTGTATTCGTTTTCGTCTCGAGCATTGTATCAGTAGTGGGTTCCAGAATATCCATCGTCTCGAGGCGAGAACCCTAGTGCGTGAAACAGCCATCCGGATGCTGTTGTTTGTAGACGACTGCGCGTTGTTTGCACACAGCGAGGATGTGTTGCAAGGCACAAGGAAAGCTCTCACTTCAAAAGATGTTGTTGCCCAACTTCACGAAAATTAACTGCTGTACTAGGAGAAAAAACGCTGGTTACACAAACGTCAGATTCCGGTGAAGTCTGGTCCATCGACATTGTGTATTTGGTGCTGTGGCACCTACAGTCGTTTGTACGTTGGACGATTCAATCTAGTAAGTCATCAGTGTGTCCACGAGCGACCAATACGAACAGGGAAAGAGTAAATCGATTAGGCAAGCGTCAGCGCTTGATAAATACACTGCTTCTGATTCCATTTACTAACCAAGGTCAATAATGTGGTCGTTGTGGGTCGTGTGCTGCATCATCGTTGCAATTCGTCAGTATGTGTGCCAGCGTGTTTATTTTCTAACATTTTTGGTGCTTGCTGATTGATATCCTCGGTCAGGTTGCGCTTGATGTGAATGTTGGCAGAGTGCCTGCCTGTTGGAAACTACCACCTTGTGTATACTGGCTTCGGGAAACTGCTAGTCTTTGATGGGGGAGACGGGTTACACGGTTTTCGTGACTGTGCTAGACTCAAAGATTGGTTCCATCCAGTGTGGTACAGGGTACAGCCCAGTCACCTCTCTGTGTACGTCTGGTATATATAATTTCCCCTCTTCAAATGAATGATGTGCATTCTGAAGGAGTGTGGGTCGTCTCTGAATCAGTCATAGCTCCAGTTCACATGCCCCTTAAGTTTATTTCTTCGGGTCAACACTGAATGTATGGCGTGTGGATGGAGCTGCGTGTGGTGCATTGCAAGTCACCCATGATTCCTCCTTAGGCGCAAGCGTCTTGTGGCTGTTCGCAGTCGCGATGACAAGCAACTCCTGAAAGGGATGACGCAAACCATACGTGTACAAGTCAAATCAAATCACAATGGGATTTGTGTACCCGATTGGGACACTAACACTGCGGATGTGCTGAGGCATAGCATTGATCTAAAACCATAGTCAAGAGGTAAACAATCCAATATGCACGTACCTCACCCAAGTAACTGTTCACACATAGTATTGACAACTTACTTGGTGTCCACAAGATAACGGGATAAATGTTGTGCGACCGAGTTGTGGTAAGATGTTATGCGAGAAAGCAAAACACTAAATTTGATGCACGTAAACGAACGGGAGACAGTTTTTGATAAATAATCGTGTAAAGAGTGAAAAGGCTCATTTAAAACCTTGACTGAAAAGTTGTCATGTGCACCAAAAGTCTTGCTATCGATGAAGTCAACCAAAGACGGTAATTTTCTACACCTGGAGATGAGCTTAGTGGAACGCACAATTAGCCTGACGTCTTTTTGTGAAGTACCAGGAGAATGATAGGTAAGCAGGATGGCCAGAGAGGAAGAATACAAGCAGTCACGATTTTATGGATTAAAGAGCAGGGTCCTGAAAGTGTTTTGAGTCTCAGGGCAAAGAATGATACCTTATGGAACGTTTTGTGTAGTTGTTTGACCACGATAAATTTTGCGATAAAACTACATCAAGGTACTTAACAGTGGATAACCTAGGTGTGGTATAGTCGCTCTCGAACATGTGGCGGGTAGTATTCGTCGAATATAGAGTTTTATCAGTGCGGCAGAGAGACAATTACGTAGCGGAATTCGGATGTATCGAGAATAAGGGATCGAGACGACGACCACCCATGTAGCTCATATAAGCTGCTTTGGAGAGCTGTGGATGACTCAGCAGCGGGAGCAATGCTGCCTAGAATTACGTCGTCAGCGCACTTACATCAGCCAAAGTTGGAAAGGGGGATTGGAAGCATTTAGATGTATGGATAGAATATAAGGGGGATGGTTGCCTCTTGTAAAAGTGGCGGATTCTGTTATCATTCAGTTGCGTTAAATGAGAGCCTGCACGAAATGACTGAGTCATCTCACACTTTACGTCTTCTAAGTGTTTGTTTGAAATTATAAAGGATTTCCTGTTTCAGATTTTCTAGATAGCTGCTGCTACTTGAACATCACACAAGGACAGCAGATTAAGCAGGATTGACCTGTTGACACTACCGAAAGCGTTGGAATAATCAAGGAAGAGAACCTGCACAGTCTTTCATTTCGCATCCAATGCACTTGCTATTGGGCAGACAAGGTATGCTACGGTATCCAACCTGGAACCTCGGTTTGTAGGCAAATTGAGATACGTCCTCGGCCGGAGTGCTTGTTGTGATGCAAGACACAACTAGTCGCTCTAAGGCTTACAGCATGTCGGACTTACAGGCGATCGCACGGAATTCCACGGGTTCCTACCTTAGCACGCGCGTTATTTTGGCTTGTCTCCAATATCGGCGATAGTTCACCACATAGGCGACGAGTAAAAAGATTCGCCAGGAGCCTAGTGAGGTTGTCGGCACAATCCTCTAAGACAACTGGTGAGAGTATCGGTCCCACTAGTCTTCCTCGAGTTCAACTTCTTGAGTTCTCTGTTGACTTCAAGCTGTTAAAATGTAATTGTTGCGCCAGTACCAGAGAATGAAGGCGAGGAACATGCTTTCTGTGAAGAGACCAACTCAGAATTGAACCTATTCATATCCACAGAACATAGCGTCTTAAAATACCTCCACAGGTCACAGCGGTTACGGTTGTATAAAACGGCTTCTAAGTACAAGTTGTTCAATCGCAAAATCATGGCTTTTATTGCTAAAGAGTCTTTTGACACGGACAGTCACTTTACATTTATAGTCCTGACGCATAAAGATGCCAGCTATCCAAGTCATTATTTGTCACTTTCAACATAATCCCATTCGACTTGAATGCACTTAGTCCAGCGGTGTTCAAGCATTGTTATCTTTGTGCGGAAGAAGAACGAAGACTGTCCCCGTAAAAATAGCTCCACAGCGCTAATCAATTCGTCATTACTGGCAAGCTTGTCACTCAGAGGTGAGATTTCAATTTAGGGAACAGATAATAGTCAAATGGGACCAAATCTGATGAATATGCGGGATGTAGAAGCAATTCAAGGACACTGATGGTCGGTCGCTGAATTTCAAGGAACAGGTTAAGTACACTGGCTAAAACACAGCAGGGTATAGGAATCATAGGCTCCAACAAGACTGGAGCTTGGCGTGGTGCGGTGGGTTGCGTCCCCCAGAACCATTGAACTATGCTGGGTGCCACTTTCGAAATGCTTTCAGAGCCAGTCATACCAGGCAGGTCAATGGTTAGGGGCAAACTAACAGTCTCACAATCCAATCCTCTTCGGAAGTGAGGGAGACAAAGGTATAGGAGACAAAAGGTCTACGGGTTCTAAGCTCACAGCTCGGTTGGCATAGAACACGAAGGCAACGCATTGTCTCTAACGCTGGGAGGGCACCTTCTGGTGCTCAATGGTTTGCTACCGCTCGCCTCAAACCAGGCAGCTCCTGGTCACACTGGTGCAAACCCGCTAACTCCTATCTGCGGCTGGCCGTGGTCACAGGTGCATAACATACTACGGTCGCAAAACACATGTGAATTGTCTAAAAACGGCAGGCTATCTTGTTGTTCCCTCTCATACGACACAGAGAGGTTGGGTTGAGTTTAATTCAACAGGGTAACAATTCGGTTAAAATGCTCCTCACTGGTGACAATTAATATGTTATCCACGTAATGTTTATGCAGCTTAGTTTCACTAATGATGCGATCTTCCTTACAATCAGTCCCAAGAATATGTCCGCCAGAACTGTGTCTAGAGGGCTCCCATTGCAACGCCATCGACTTGCCTGTATGCGGATCCTTCAAATTCAAACCGAACATTTTTTTGGGCATGTTAATATCCGGTCACTTAGGTACTCAGGAGAAAGACCAACAGCTAGGTTTTGACTCAGAAGGAAACTGCATAATTCGTCAACAGTTTCTCGCAAGGGTTCGTTTGTGAAAAGCGAGTCCACATCTATCGAGTACATGCGCTCGGTATGTAGTGACTTATGGTCTACTGTCTCGATTCATTCGGATGTCTTTCAAACAATATGTGGCTAGGAGTTTACGAACTGGTTCCAGCAATTTCGCCAACCAACGAGCAACCTTGTGATATGGGGAGTTGTTCATGCACAAAATTGGTCGTAAGGGATTACCGATCTTGTGTATCTTCGGTGCGCTTCACCTTCTTTGGGTTCCCGTTCCCGTCGGCTTCACTTGCCCATACAGTGATTCGGTGTTGCATTCATGCAACAAAAGGATTTGTAGTTTTTTTGTGACCCGCTTTTCTACCAGAAGATTGGTCTCAATGGTGTTGAGCACTTGGAACTTACGTGTATCCCCGAGAACTGATTCAATCTTAGAGATA